CCTTAAATTGCCATTTGATAGGGAGATGGCCGCACAGCCCTTTCCCAAACATGAGTATGACTTCTGTGGCAAACATGCACAACGTGTAAGCACTAGCACTTGCAATTTGCACATACAAAAAAGTCAGGAGAGACAACAGTGACATTCTATGTCCGGAACTGTCGCCTGGTACAAAAAACACTAAAAGTAGACTTGACCAGGTTTGGGCTAATTTTACATGCTTTATTAATATAATTTAAGTGTTGAAAATATTGGCAAACGTGTGACATGGAATGTTATCTGGTTTATTGGTCAGACTCTTGTACACTTCAAAATGTGATGCAAAGAACAGACAAGTGAGAAACACGTGTGTTGATCGAAATGGAATGCATTTACCAAAATGTGTATTACTGCGTCCAGATAATTCAAATATGCATATATCTCGATTTAACCAATTTGGAAATATCATACCTAAATCGTCTAATGAAAGAGTAAAGATTACTATTGAACTGAATACCAGTTGCACGGTGGTTCTTGCATCGGACTAAATAGATATATTCATAATCTACCTTAATTAAACACAATTAGAGTCCACTGTTTCCATTGTGTGTGTGCTACAGACTTCATATGAAGGTCAAATCCACTGTACCTATGTTGAATGTGCTACAGACTCCGGGGGAAGGCCTAAGCTACCCAGGGTGAGTGTGTCACAGACACAATGGGGAAGTGTAATCTACTGTACCCAGGATGAGGGGGTACAGACTCCGTGAGATGGCCAAATCTACTGTAGGAAGGCCCAATTTACTGTACCCAGGGTGAGGAGGCACAGAATACATGGGAAGGCCTACCCAGGGTGAAGAGGCACAGGCTCCATGGGAATGCATAATCCACTGTACCCGGGGTAGGGTTTCAGACTACATGGGAAGGCTTAATTTACTTTACTCAGGGTGACGGGGTACAGACTAAATGGGAAGGCCTAATCTACTGCATCCAAAGTGAAGGGGTACAGGCTCCATGGGAAGGCCTAACCCACTGTACCCGGGGTAGGGTTTCAGACTACATGGGAAGGCTTAATTTACTGTACCCAGAGTGAGGGGGTAAAGACTCCATGGGAAGGCCGAATCTACTTTACTCAGGGTGACGGGGTACAGACTAAATGGGAAGGCCTAATCTACTGCATCCAAAATGAAGGGGTACAGACTCTATGGAAAGGCCTAATTTACAGTACCCAGGGTGATGGGGTACAGACTAAATGGGAAGGCCTAATTCACTGTAAGACTTTGATTCAACGTGTTTTAGACAATATCACCTAGTACTTGGATACACGAGGTCTTATTTAAACGCACAAAACTGGTGAAAACGCATAATATAGACATAACACATATCCTGTCTTACGTGTACTTCATACATGAAAATGATAAAACGACGCTTGGAGTCGCGAAACATAATAGAAACCCCCAAATCTATGAAACACAATCCACTTCTTTGTAAAGGTAGATTATACTAGAGT